TGACCTCTTCAGTTAATGTAGGCTGACCTATGACAACAGGAACAGAGAACAAAGTAGTATACAAAGTAGAGCAAGCAAAAAGTCCAGAAAGTTGGAAAAGGCCTGGTGCATCCTAGAAACTGAATACCACAGGAAAAATTATATATAAAAGCATAAAGGTAAAATATTTACATTTTTCAGATTCTATATAGTGTGAACAAGAACTCCTGAAAAGAGATGGGTCAGAGACTGACTGACGTATCTGAAGTTCAATGCTACGGAGACATTTGAAGGTTACAGCTCCACAGTCTAATTTACCTTGCCTTAAGCCAACTTTAGCCTCGGGAACAGATATTCTGGGCCTGTCTCTGTTTCAGAAGCAACATCCTCTGACTAATTGATAGGAACCTTTTGAAATCTATTAACTTGGCTGTCTACTGGCTTCTCCCAATCCAAAAGCTAAGAATATCATCAGATAACATCAGGCCTACAGAAAAGCTTTTCCTATCTTGCTATAACCACCTCTGAAACAAATGTATTTTAAACTTGCCTTGATTTATGACTTTTTGTTCTGTAATACTATATAACTTTATGAAACTTCCTCAACATTGGCTCAGGGAATTTGGAGTAACCTAATTCCGGTCCATGATCACAGTCAGTCAAGATGACTTCAGAATAAACTACCGCTTATTCCTTTTAAGATGAGGGCTGAGGTTGAGATTGTTGCATTGGCAATTAATGTGAAAAATGCTCAGAATGAGTCAATAAATGAGAAAATCTGAACATTCATGTTTTAGGAAGTATCAAAGGCTTTGGAGCTTTATAGCTCAATCTACCTTCCAGCTATGCTGATTTCATTATTTTCTTTAAAAAAATGAATATATGTGTATGTATATATATATATATACATATATATACATACATATATATGTATGTATATATATATACATATACATAAATGAGTGTATATATATGTACATAGATACATATACTCATTTTTAAAGAAAATTATATATATATATTTATATACATATATATATATATATATGGAGAGAGAGAAATAGAAAGAGTGAAATCTATAGAGATAAAAGCCTAAGAAAAGGGAAAATCATTAAGCCGCATCAAAATAATTCAGATAAAAATATCCCGAGAATGATTTCCAAAGAATCCAGTGATAATAAGGTAAAATTGCTCTATGTAACAGAAAAAAATAGACTGCATTATTTATAAAAGTTATTCCATATGGAAGCAGAATGTACATTGAAAAGACAATTGTTATAAAATAAATTGCTCACCCTCCATTTTCCTGTACTTTCCCAAGCCATCATAACCTTTTATCTACTGGGACTTTCCCCAGAATTCCAACCCCATGTTGAAGAAAATTTATTGAAAGTTAAACAAATATACCATGTAAGATATATTTCCTCTTCCTCCCACTAAGTCTTCTTCATTATGACAGGGTAGTTTTGCCTTCCTCACTGTGAAGGGGCAAGGCCTCCCTAAATTAAGCCTAAATTAAAATTTTGTCTACTAAGTTGTATAATATTATGTCAGTATTCATCAAAGATATGAGACAAATAGTAAGTTACTAAAACTGATTTTTATCACATCTGCAGAAAACAAGATTGAAATTCAAGTGCTAAATATATTTTATATACCAGCAACAAATAAGCAGAAATAAAAAAAACATGTAATAGTATGATAGCGTAGGATAAGAGATACTGAAAAATAAATATAACAGTAATTGTGAGAAAAGTGTATATTGAAAACTATAAATAGAATGCAAAGATAAAAACCTTAAATATAGACAAATGTGCAATGTGCGTTGTTCATAGATTGAAAGATACATAGGTCTACTGACTCTAGATTTCTGTTAATAACAAGGCAAACCTAATAAATGTCCCAACAAGCTTTTATACAAGTAGCCAAAGTAAATCTCACACTTAGAGAAATTTAGAAGGCTCAAAATAAGAAAAACAGTTTTGAAAACATAAGCATAATATTAGACTTAACTGTGTTCAGAGTTCAGTATTAAGCATAACAATTATGTTAATGTGGTATTATTGTCATCAAGATGGACAGGCAGATCAATGAAGTACAGTCACCCAAAAGTAGAGCCACATGAACATCATCAGCTGACTTTCAACATAGAAACGCATGCAGTTATTACAATGGACATTTCTAATATCAACAACACAAAATGGATCCTATGCCTAAATTTGTAATTGAACACTATTAACACTTCTGAAAGACACATAGCTAGTTCTTGAAACATTGGGTTGAATGAAGTTCCTAGGTTGATAGCAAACACACCATCCATCAACCAAATAATACATGGTACTTCATTAAAATTAAGAAACTTTAATGGCTCTTTGATCACCTACCTCTGGTGGGAGTGCAGCTGTACCAGGCCACAGAGGAAGACAATGCAGCCAGTCCTGATGAGACCTGATAGGCTAGGGTCAGATGGAAGGGAAAGAGGACTTCTGCTACCAGTGGACTGAGGGAGAGGAATGGGAGGAGAAGAGGGAAGGAGGGTTGGATTGGGAGGTGATGAGGGAGGTTGCTACAGCTGGTATGTAAAGTAAATAAACTGTAATAATAAAAATAAATAAATAAAAAGTATTTTTACGAGAAAAAAAGGCCATGACATGGATTGTAAATTAAAAGTTTACAATCCACAAATCTGATAATTTGCTTTCATTGTATTTCTCAATAAAATAATATAAACAGGCATAATATGGATGAAATTTCAAAAGTTATTTTCCCATGGTGGAAAAATGCTGAACAAGAATATTTTTTAAGATAAATTCAAGCTAAAACCATTATGATGTGCGACACTTTATATAAAAGAACATTGATGGTCAACCACATCTTGTTTAGCATGTACAGCAATTACACCTTTGTTGGAAATATTAAATAATAAAACTGACTTGGGCAAACTGTTTGGAAGCTCTCTGTCTCTCTGTCTCTCTCTCTTGCTCTCTCACTCCCTGCACAGGGTCTCCCTGAATGGCTCCTACAGGCCTGGAATTTACTGTGTAGTCCAGGCTGGCCTCAGACACTCTGCTCTAACAGACTATTTAATAGAGATGCCTTCATCTCCTCTATGAGTGCTAGGATTAAACAAGTGCCACCACAAGAGGCTTGGCAGTTTCTTAATGTTATATGTGCACCCCCCCATATAACTAAGACGTTCCCATACTATGTAGTCAGTCAAAAGAAGTGAAAGCATTAGTAAACACATACATGAACATGAGTGTTCTTAAAAACTTTATTTACAGTAATCAAACCTTGACAACATTGCAAATATCCATACGATTATGAATGGATAAACAAATTGTATTATGTCTATACAATGACGTGTTAAGTAGAAACAAAAGAAACTATATATATCTAAAAAGAAAAATAAAAAAAAGAAACTATATATATATATTATAATATATATAACATAATGTAATATATGTATATAATATAATGTAATGAAGGAAAATCTAAAAATATTTTCAGGAAATTATAGGAATACTACACAGTATTTCACAACATAAATTAATTAGGAAGCGGTTGCCTGAGAATGGGGGGGGGGGTAAGGGGGTAAGTGGCTGAAACTGAACATAGAGGATGAATTGAAAGGGTACATAGCCCAAGGAACATCACAGAAGAGGGGCAGAAAGACTGTAAGAGCCAGAGCCCAGGAAATCTATTGTGAGATTGTGCCTTCTCTTTTTAACAGGTAGGTGAAACAGTGAAATCTCAACACCATGCCTACCTACAAAACTTTTAAATTCCAGCAATAGCTGACACCCTAATGATAGAAAGTTTTCATAGGGCCACACCCTAGATGAAAAGCTGCAAACAATTAGCAACTGCTGAGAGAGGAAGAATTAGTCATTGCCAGGGATGTACCCCAGGGCTGGTTATCTCAAACTGAGTGGTCAGACCTAGAGACAAATGCACGCACACCACGTTGAACAGAGTTCAGCAGTTTGCATTTGTATGTTGATCCACTTATATGAATATGTAAAAAAAAAACTATGGGTGGACTTTGGAGAAGTAGGAGGGATGTGAAGAAAGGGAAAAAATGACAAAGTTATATTTTAATGAAAAAATTTTAAAGTCTTTTAAAAAATTGTCCCAAAGTTTTCAGAGAAAGTTTGCAGGTGTGATGGCCATGTTTTGTGTGCTAACTATGCAGATGGCATCAGGGGCACGTGTTTCAGAACTTACTGAACTGCACATTCAATTATTTCTATTCTAACTATACCTCATGAAACCTTTAATTCCAAATTAGAGATGGAAATCGGATCAAAGTTCACAGAGTCATACTCCCTCGTCCTCTGGTTGGGCTGTAGCCAAACCCGCTTTGGAAAGCATAGCTCCTGAGCTGAAGGCGGCCTGAGGACACTTTCTGAACAGCTTGGAGAGATTTAATGAAGAATTACACTGTGCACGATTCTGTCAACTGAGAATAAAGCAGAGTCAGGAGTCACCATTATTTAATCTCCCTCATTAAACATTAATAGACCTGCAATAGTTAGTGTACTGTAATGAAAGCCGAAGTGGGAGAGTAAGCCAGCTCAACTTTTTGGAGATCAATTTGGATGTCTTAACACATAGCTAAACACTACGCTGACAGTATTATCATTTTAGTAATATTGATTCAGAAATTAACAGCTTGATCAAATATTGAGAATATTCAACACAGTAGTCTGCAATGCATGCTTAATTTTCCAAATTGTCTAAGTAGGTTCAGTTACGGAAAAATGCCTCCTCATCCTGAAAATTAATGCACCTCAAGATATTGACATTAAATGATAATTGTCTTGAGCAAGACTTACTCTAAAGGTGAAAATAAGCTACAAAATGACCATTATCCTGTGCTAAAATATTATGAATTTGTATTTGCACACACATAACGGAGACAATGCATATCCGTATTAGTGGCAATTTCTGAGCAAGGGACTTGCAGATGATTTAAATTTTCTTTGTACATTTCTTATAATTTCCCATTTTCTGCCATATAGAAATTATATCTAGCCAAAAATATAATTGTCTTCATTTTATTTAATTTTTAATTTTATTTTTAGAATCTCATAAATAAGTACTCTACATTCCCACCCCTCACTTCTCAGCCAACTCCTTCTGTGCCCCCCTCATTCCCTGTTATATTCATGACTTCTTTATTGTTACACACATACCTGTATAAATACAACCTGATGAGTAATGGTACTGGCATGTATATGCATTTAGGTCATCAGGGGAGCATTTGATTCACATCTGAACATGTGGATACCTAGAGAGGTGTTTGTAAGAATCATTCAGTGAAGTTTTCTTTGGAGCTGTGTGCATTGGAAAGAGTAGTGGGGGATAAGGACCACACTCTTGAGCCTTGTCTCCCAACTCTGCTTTGATGCTTGCTGCTGAGTGCCTGAACTTGTTCTTGAAACTTGTGGAAAGAGTTGCCTGAACCATGGGACATACAAGACTATTGGGTAACACTGATGAAGTGAGATACTGTCTCAGCTACTTGGGAGACACAAGGCAGATAGAGTTGTTATTCTATAGCTTTCACCTTTGGCTTTGTGAATGGGGGACCTGGTAAGTCTGTCAGTGGGGAGGGGGGAGGGCACAGCTCAAAGATGTTAGCATAGTGGTACAACACCTTAGGAGCTGAGGGTTGTGAATAAAGCTCATGACAATGAGAATCACCTCTCACACTCCAAACCAAGCATGGTCTTCTCAGCTCCAAACTCCCACACAGGGCATCAGAACTGTCAGCAAAGGTGTTCATCAACTATTAAGCATATTGTTTTTTTCTATTTTTACATTGAAATCACCTTGCCAACCTGGTAACGAGGAATTTTAATTTGGGCATATGGCAAAGAATGGTGTGTAAGGCAATCACACATCACACTCTCTTGTATTTTTTGTTTTGGGTGGGGTTTTTTTGTTTTGTTTCGTTTTTGTTATTTTGGGTTTGGCGGATTGTTTTTTTTCTGTTTTGTTTTGTTTTAATTTTTGAGACAAGATCTTCTGCATAGCAGACTGGCTTCAAGTTTTATATGTAGCTGAGAATGACCTTACCCCATACCTCCCAAATGCTAGGATGGCTGGCAGGCACCACCACACCTCGTTTTATAGGGTGCTTAGGACTGAATTCAGGTCCTCATGCGTGCTGCACAGACACTCTACAAACTGAGCCCAATCCTCAGCCTCTTCCTGGCTTTATGGAGAAGAGAACCTGCCACAGAACAAGATGCTGCTGGTTTTGTGGTGCAAGATGAAGAAGAGGAATGGGCGGTCTGCACAGAACCTTGGTTCCACTCGACAGCACCGGGCGTTCCTGATCACTGCAGTGGTCGCAGCCGCCTCAGTGCCTTCCTCGTTGACCTCTACAAAGCACTTGTGGGAGACCTTGGACACAGGCACATTCTTCTTAGTTGTCATCCCAGAAAAGTCAGCCTTGGTTTCCTCAAAGGCATCTATCATTCCCAGACTCTGAAGAGAAGATTCCAGGTCGTAACTCTCCTCCAGCTTTAATCTGGGGATAAAAACCTGAACTTTGCTTTCTGTCATGTTTTCTGGGTTTGTCCAGGCTCGGAACTTCTTGTATGTGAGTGCTTTTTCCACCTGGAATAACAAAGGGTCGAATTTTAAAATCAGGAGGGCAGTAGGCTAGTGCACTTGCATTTCCTCGTCCCTTTACCAAGAGAGGAGTGCTCTCATCCAATGGCAGCTGCTTGACTTTGCTTCTAGTCCTAGACTTTCCCAAACTTCTTCTCAGGCGGCCATGACAGTTCTCATTCTTGACTTATGAAAACAGCTTTCTGATTACATAGGAAAACCAGTAAAATGCAGTGGTCTCACTGTCGATGCTGTGCACCAGCGCTAGACCTGGTTCATATTGACTGGAAGCACTGGGTCACCTACAGTCAGCTGTTCTCAGGCCTTCCCAACGGAGAGCTGCCTTAACTGAACATTGTTGGTCATACACCTCCTACTCTGTAAATCCCTGGACTTTGTTCCTTTCCTGTCATGAGGAGAATCAAAGGTAACAACCACTCCCAAACATACCTCTGCCTTACACCCAAAGTGTGGTCCATGGGTCAACTGCACTTGCTTCATCTGAAATCTTGTTAGAAATCAAAACAAAACCTCAAGCCATTATCTGCTGGATTAGAACCTGCATTTCTTAAAATATTTCCCATGGAGCTCATCATCACGGTGATATGTGAAAAACATCACCATTACTCAATGCTATACTTCTTCCAGGGTCTCTGCTAAAGAGTTATTTGGCTATCAACCAATCCCACCTTCCTGAATTAAAAAATGCTGTTGTATTTCGGTAACTCTCTCATCCTAGCTTTATCGAAACTTGTCTACTCCTAAACACTTAAAAAATGCATACACATGTTCACTAAAAGGCACGCCTGGGTGTGCTTGGAATGACCTAAGTTGGAAACTGCAAATGTTTACAGGGATGGACTTAGAAAGTGGAGCTCAGCTGGCATCCACAGACATTTACTGCCCGGGACTCACCACAGCGAGATCAGTGTTTTCATCAGGGAGCAGAATTAACATGCTCAGGTCCTCATCTGCGTAGGGCAGAGACAGGACGTCCACGTTCACCTCATCCACATGCCCCATCTTAAATTTCGCATGCTTGAACATCATCTGCACTGTTTTTCTCTCCTAATGAAAAAAAAAAAGTGAGATTTCCAAAACAATAAATATAATTTACTAACACCAAGCTATATCCAATCCTTGAGGGTCAGAAAAGCATAACATGATCATCATTTCTATGCACTGTTAAATGCAAAATCTTTACTCGCACATTGCAGTATCGAGTTGAATGGACTGTTGTTCATCTGATGAGGTATTACTAAGTAAAGAAAAAAAAAAGGACAGTTTGATAATGGAACAGGACTTAAAATGACATTGCGTTTGGAGAAATAGTGATTGTTCCTGAGAAAACTCACAGTGAAGCACTTCCATGGTTTTACAGTTCAGCATTATTTCTCCAAATTAAGAGGGAATTCACTGCCACTCAGCCATCGGGCTACTAAAAGTACTTGTTTACAAAGTCCAAACCAAATAATAATAATAATAATAATAATAATAATAATAATAATAATAATACACTTGTGTTCTGAAGCATTGCCCAGTTGCAGAGTTGGTTTTATATCTTTGCTTTCCTTGGGAGGGGACAATGACATGAAGTATACAGTCAGATAGTTTTAATGCTATACCAATACATTTTACAATCATATCTTTGTGTATTTATAAATGACATAAGTAAAATTCCACTTCATATTTAGAGGGAATGTAGAAAACCTTATTTAAAATTAGACTTACATCTGATAACATGTTTTTATTTTTTCATTAAAGATCCTATAATGCTAAACTCTGAAGCAATAGGTCAGCATATCTACCAGTGAGGTGGCATAAGACATCTAAGCAACTACAGTGATGACATGATATTGACACAGTGACAAGGCTTAGGCAGGATCTTCCTGCAACAACAATCGTTTGACTGGAGGGGTAAGATGCAATTGACCAAAGATGAGAAAAGAAAAGAAAAGAAAATCTATCAGTATACACATTATTCTAGTTTCCCATTCAACTCTAATTAAAGATATAAAGGGGGCATTAGTTTCATTCAGAAACAGAATAAGAATCAAAATACTATAAAATAAGCTGTTCCTTTTCTCATCCATCATCTTTTTCTGCTTGCTACTTTAAGAAAATAACAATATATTAGAAACACTGTCCTACCTGGTTAGTCTTAAAGGCCATGCCCCTTGTGTACTTCCTGTCAAACTGAGCCTTCCACTTCCCTTTGAAATACATGGCATTCACAAGAACCAGCTTAGTCAGTGGGCAGACCGCTCCAGGACTCAGAATTTCAGAAATTTTACCTACAGAAAACATAAAAAGATTTAAAATGAAAAAGAAGGAAAAGAAGGAAGACGATGTAAGAGAAGTCTATAGTGATTTGGGGAAAAGAGAAAAATAAGCATCCTCTTATAATCATTTACATCATTTTTCCTTAAACAATAACCTGTTTTATTCTTTTCTTCATGAAACAGTCTTTTACATAACACAGACTGGCCTCAACCTTGGTATGGGAGAGAGGTGTCCTCAAACACAGTCTCCGCCTTCATCGTTCTCACTAGGGCTGATGTGGCAGATATGTACCTACATGCCGTGAGTGAACAGAAGTTTTAAAGCAGGTGGAGGTGCTATGGCTTATCCTTTGAGCATTTCTTTGAACTTCTGCCAAGTTCACAAAGGTGACAGTTTGCTACACTAAAACAAACATACAAACAAATAAATATGTTGATTCTAACAATCCTCTCTTGACCTTAGCACTATAAATCTCAATTACACTGTTTTGGACATTTGACTTGGAATTAATTCTTGGCTGAGGTAAGTCTCTATTGTGCATGATAAGGTATTTAGCTAGTGATTTTCTTCAATTCCAATAGTTAAAAATACCTTCAGCCACTGTGACATGACATTTGAAAGGAAAAAAAGAATCCTGTTTAAGAATCACTGCTTAGTACTAATCTTCAAACCAGATTTATATAAGCAGAGGCTTCCTAAAGATCAGAAATATAGACCTGCAATAGGGAAAGGAAGGATGATTAACAACAACAAAAATGGAGAAAAGAAATTATGGAAGTGGGCTAGAGACATTTTTAAATTAGTTTGCAGTGTTTCCTGATGCCCAGCAAACACCCCATCACATCCCTGAGAACTGGGTTGTAGGAGGAAAACCATGGAGGACCCAGCCCAACCCACCCCAGATCTCCTGCTCCTCAAACTCTAAAGTCCATATAAATTAAAATCCCCTACCTTCAGTCTTTTCCACCACCCAGTCATTGATGTGCTTCCTGCACCCTTCCGTGTCTTTAACAAAGGACAGCTCTTCCAGCCCTGCCTGATAGAACTTCTGGCAGGATTCCTTGAAGGTCTACAGACACAAACAGAAGTTGGGCACTGTTCAGCAAAGGTTCCTGCAAACTGTGGTAACAAGGATTTTCTCTTAACATTTTCCCTAGTCTAAATGTCTGAGGATGATGCTGTATTTCAAGTTGCATGTGATCCTCACAGCTGTGTGGGCCTCCTACACTGCCCTGAGGGAGATGCTTGATGCCAGGTGAAAATGTACACCTGACTGGGCACCCCACAGCCTGTTAAGAAAGATACCTTGTGCACAAAGACACTTACAAAGGTTAGGACTGTAGTTATCCACCCACAAAGCACGGAAAGGTCTCTTCCAAACAGGCTGGGTTGACTCTGACTCTTCTGTTTCCCTACCCAGCAGGCACTCATCTAACAGTGGTGATTCAGAAGACAGAGCAAATGTAAGAGACCCTGAGAGGTTCTCAGTAAGACTCATCCCCCAAAGCAGAGGTAGGAGTTATGAGGGTCTCTCTATAACATGGCAGATTATATGGCCACTCATGGGTAAAGAAGAAAGGGGGAGGATGTCTGTCTGGGTGCAAGAGAATAACATATTGGCTTTACCTCTGGGAGGGTTTTTATCAAGAAATGGCCTCCTTAGTTGGAGTCCTTCTCACCACAGGGGCCAATGTCCCACCCCCACTACTGACTGAGTATCCCTTTCACCATCCAAGTTCCCCTTTTAGGAACCAAAGCCAAGTTCTCTCAACCTTTCCACACCAACCCCAAAAACCTGTTATGGACTGTACCTCTCACTGTTTGCCTAGAGCCTCCCCGATCATACATGTTCCTAAAATACTCCAATTTCAGAATCCACCTGAACACCCCAGGAAAAACTATTCCAATGTGACAAGAGCCTCTCAAATTATATTCTCCCACACAACAACCAGACCCTGTTTTCAGACAATACATGTTCCCCAGTTGATCTTATATGGCTAATCTAAATTTTCCTGGCTCCTCTCAAGAGCTCTCAAACAGACGTCAAGCAAGCAACAGCCCAAGTTTTCCTGCCTATCGTCTATTCCTAAAATTGGGATCTCTTTCCCTTTCCTTGGGTTCCCCATTTCTTGGAGAAATCCTTCCATTTTCCTGGTCCTCTCCCCTTTTCCCTGGTCTTGGGACTCCTCTTCCCAACTACCAGCACCATGAACCTAAAAGTTGCAAACGTACATCAAGAAAAAAATTTTTTTTCTAAACTCCCTAACTTAGCCTCTGTCCCTAGTCTATCTGCCCCAACAGATTTCAAATCAACTACAAACTGATCCAGTAGCTCCACAGTCAGCCACAGTTGTTTCCATGGAATCTACTGCCTGGTCCAGCCTCACAGACTACACTTCCCTAGTCGCAGATGATCCAGCAGAACCTGGACGTCGTCGGCTGTCATAGCTTCTCTGGGCCTTGAGCAACTACCCAGCTTCCTCCAGGCCCCTAACTACAACACCCCAATGTCAGCAGGAAGCGTACAGAAAAAAAATGACAGCTGTTTACCCAACACCCAATAACACAACAAAAATGTGGGAATGGAGGGATTCTGCCCAACTTGAACGTGGTAAACATGGCTCTGGCGGACTTGGCCTTTCTCTCTCCATCCCTCTGCCTTACTAAAAAACTTTCAGATTACATTAGTAATGCTAGCAATTAAAGCCTATTCCCTATGTGGCCACTTCCTCCTCCTGAGGCTCAGTAGCAAGCCCTAGCTATCAAAGTGCTTTAAGTCCAGCAATCCAAAGTCCCCCTGACACACTAATTAACCTGCTCAACTAATATTAATCACCTCATCCTAATACTGGCTTTTCACTTCTTCCTTGTAAACTGCCATTTTCCTAGGGGCTGTGTTTGGCTCCTCTCCACTCTAGGACAAACACCACTTACCCCTCTTCCTTGCCCCCTTTTCTCCTGTCTTCTTTGTTCCCTTCCCCTTCTCCCTCTTCCTCTGTCTCCTGTCTTTGTCCTTTGTCCTTTATTCCTGCCCCATTAAATTTTGTGCTGTGTTGAGAACTTGGTCTTATTATTTTTTTTTGGCGGGGGGGGGGGTGAGCATTCTGGGTCCCAAGTGGATACTCTTCTTAACACATACCGAAAGGAAATCACATGATTCTTCGCCAAAGAGTTGGCAAGCACTTTTTAACAAGTACTGAGTGCCAGTTTTGTTAACTTCGGTGAGAAGGGTCTGGAAATGTTGGTGAACATCTTCATCTTTGCTCAAACCAAGCACCTAGGGATAGAATAAATAAATAACCTGTTTTAAACATGACCATTATCTCCCCTCCTATGCACAGACACGGCTAAGTGATGAAAGCCTGAGATGGTTCTTTAGTAAAAGGTTTGCCTGTCTTAACAAGGTTGCGAGCCAGAACTCTCACTGAGGCAGGGCTGCCTAGAGGGGGGACACTGGCAGCATTTGTGGTCTCTAGCCACTAGGTGTCAGTAGCACCTGTCTGCTAGGAGAACTAAATGGCTGAGCCCTTACCAAGTGTCCCTGAGGAAGCAAAATGCCCCCCTCGAATGAGAGCCACTGGCCTGCAGGAATCACCCATCTCAGAAAAGCGTCATGAGATAAGTCAGGATGTCTGGGTAACATACAAACTAGATACTGGAAATGAATCTAATAACCAGGGAATGCAAGTATAAAACAGCAAGATTTTTTTTTGTTCCAGAACATGTGAGAGTTATGTCTCTGACCAAGTCTCATCCCCAAGGTTTCTTCCCCAGTGAGGTCAGTGAGAAGACCTCAGCAGTGGCCCCTGGGTGCACTGCATAAGATCATCTACACACACACACCCTCCTGCTAGTGCAAATTGTTATCCACAGGGCCATTTGTGTGATGCTTTCGAGTATGGTTAAAAACGAGTCCCCAAGGTATCACTATTAGATAAGGGTATGCACAACTATTTGAGCTCCAGAAGATTATATGTTCCCTCTAAATGATCTACAAAGAGCTAATTCCACATTTATGCTCATTTTCTTCAACTTATTATAATCCCACCTGAGAAATCACCGATTCCACAAAAGCTTACTTACATAGTTGCATTTTAATCCTACAAAAGCTGAAAAGATAGAAAAGCTGGGTTGTACTCTATTCTTTTGTGGGGGGGTAGGACTCTAATTTACCATTTTTCTACAAGATGTGAATTTACCAGAATGTTTATGATAAAATAATTTAACACTCAGTGTTCCCTGTAAACTGCAGAAGAGGTGACTTGCCCCACACGATTCCTTCATCCTATCTTGGTCCATGCCAGGATCACCACAGTGTCTCTCCTCCCATCCACCAGCCACACTGACTTTCACTAACTAGCTGATAACAAAAGGAACCCTTTGCTACAGTGTGCCAAAACTAACCTGCTGCTCTTCTCCCATCTACTCCTCCCTGCAACTTCCAGCAAGCATACCTGGGACATCTGGGCAGCGGTGTTTCCTTTGGCTCCGAGGTAGACCATGGCCAGGGCAGAACTCAAACTCAGGGGGCAGAAAAACACGTTCCGTGACTTGTCTTCTTCACCCAATATTTTTAATAGGCTGATGGCAAAAGAGCCATTGGCTTCACAGAGCTCATCCATCTGAGAGGGTCTAGAGTGAAGGCACAACACAGAAGCACATCAACAGAGGCCTTCTGTAGTCACAAGGGTACCAGTCTCTCCATCAGAGGACAGTAGCTTTATCAGGTGGAATATCTGTACCTCAAAAGGCAACCAGTCCCAACCCCTAAACCCTGTATGCTATCTTATTATCTTACTTAGCAGTAAGTAACTTACTCGTGTGATTTAATTAAGGACTTTAGACACAGACACTCAACCACAGTATCAATAAAACTCTAATGAACTCATAAGTTCATTAAGAAAGGGAGATTCAGGTTGAGATCCCAGCGATGCCAGGCCATGGGTGCATGAGGCCACTTCAAAAAGCTGGAAAAGGCAAAGAACCAAGACTGTCCCCTGAGAGCTTGGTAAGAGCCAGTAACAGGTATCATGATGGATTTGAACCTCTAGAACCTTGAGATAATGAGTTTGCATCATTTATAGTCACAAAGTCTGTGGAATATTTGAAGGGTTAATGATCTAAAAGAATCATTGGATTGAGAAGCTCCAGCCAGGAAAGTTGACTTGACAGACAACATATATGGAGGTGTCTGCTGAGGAGACCCACACACCAACCCCACTGGTATCTACCACCTCCAGGCTGCAGGAGAACTGACCTGAGATGAAATCTTCCATCCCCATTATTTCTCTTTTCTATCCTGTAAAACCCCAAAAAACCCATGCCATGTGCACACAGTCTCACATGCTCCCGAGAGACTGCGGCCCTTCAGCTGTTCTGATTAAAGAACAACTCTGTTCCTGGAGATGTCCATCTTCTTCTCTTCATTTCTGGCAGATGCCATTGATCAGGAACTGCAGAGGGCAAGTGAGCTTCCAGAAGACCCACCATTTTGAATGGCTGCAATGGATGTATCTCGGAGAGGCATGGCCCCGGGAGCTTTCTTGCTGCTTATGTCCCTTCTCATGCTGTCATTCTTGCTTTCCTCACGTATCTGGTGTGGTGTGATTGAGCATGAGAAGATCCTCACTGTCTACAGTCTGGTATGATTGTTCCTGGGTATTATTAGCCCACTTGTTGGGCAAATTTCCTTCAGGTCAACATAAAGTTGTGCTTTCATGAAATAATGCTGTTTAGATGAATTGATTATTTTACAATTCCTGATAATAATTTTATAGAAATCCTGAATTGATTCAAGTAATTTTAAGCCCCCTGTGGGATGGCATAAAAGCTGCAATAGGAGCTTAGTGCTAATTTTACTATTCTAAGCATCAAAAATAGGAGGAAAGATAGATGACCTGTTCCTTGGCTAAAACCCTTGTTAACCTACGGCATTAAAAATAAAAAAAAAAAACTATTGCATTGAATTTACAATGAGTTTGTGGAGCTAAAAAGTAGATGAAGAATGCTTAGTCATATATGAGTTTTAATTAAAAAAAAACATGTACTCAAAAATCCTGAAATCCCTGTTGTGTAACAAATTTATCTGTTTTTGTTATGACTGCTTTTGTGGCTAGGAGGTCTAACCTGAAGTGTGAACTGTTAATAGATGAAGCAGAGTGATGCCAAGATGCAACATTTTCCACAAGATCTTCGGAGGCTAGTGTAGGTACCTGCTTGTGTGCCTGTGCCTGCGCAGGTGTGTGCATGCGAGTGTGTGTTTGTGTGCTTGTGTGAGTATGTGAGCATGTGCAGGTGTGTATGTGTGTGTGTTCATGCACGTGCTCTCACACGTGTTTATTTCACATGAAAACCAAGCCTAATTTCACTGGCACTGGACTAGCACTGTTTTGGATCTGCCTTGAACAGGACACCTTAGCTTTACTAAACAGTAATAAAGCTAAACTAAAAGAACAAAAACAGGGCTCCTCTTGCTTAGTGCCCAGACTTCCTTCTTTCTAAAGAGTTCAACTTAGAAAACCTATACTTGTTAATTAGGCTTTTTGCCCCTTTGAAATGTAAATTAAGTTAAATGCCTCCTGCCAATTTTATAGCCCTGCCACCAAGAATCCAGGGGTTCTATCCATTGGAGGCTATTAACCTGGTTCTGGAAATGGAAATGCCCCAGTCTAGGTCTGGTCAAGCACAGTCCTGTTCTCTCAGATACTCAGGAAACTGAGGCAAGCACAATGATCCCAAGGTCAAAGACCGTCTGGGCTACAGACTCAGTTCCATTCCAGTGGAGACAATTTAGGGAGATGCTGTCTCAAGATAAGTAAGAAAAACTGGCACACAGCCCTCAACCCACAGCACACCCAGCACCACCAATAAATACAACTAAACGAACAAGAGTCAAACAAAGGCAGAAATCTTGTTTCAAGTGATGAAAAGTAGTACTACTTACTACAAATGCTAAAATCATTACAGGATTATTACCATTGCGATTCACCCATTATTATTGATTAATCATTTTAATTGTCATAAAATGTCAAGATCATTAGCGGTTGTTGTTATTAGATATTGTAATCTTAGGAAACTGTGTTTTCCGCAATAATTTTATATTTATGTTTAATTTTACTAAAATTTATAGGAACTCTTACTATTAATCTTTACAATACTTAAAGCTCACCAAATTAGTCACTGCCTATAATCCCTATTGACTATATTTCAAATATGTTCTTTTTCAGCCATATGCATACATAATTTTTTTTTTATTTTGATTTTTCGATCCAGGGTTTCTCTGTGCAGCCTTGGCCTTCCTGGACTTTGTAGAGTCCTTGAGCTCACAAATATCTGCCTGCTTCTGCCTCCTTGAGAGCTGGGATTAAAGACCATGCCTGGTGGTGATGCACACATAACTTTAACTGGAACTTTTAAACCCTACAAGATTATGTCCTAATTTGGAAAATTAGCAAATACAAAATGTATAAAGCAGTAGAAACTTTACCTAGACCTGAGTGGCCATGCACACATTCATTTCTGTGTACAGACAGATTGTGAATTTAAAGAGTTTTGTATGGTAGCTTTGCAATCATATTTTTGGGGTCCATAGATTTGAGCGTCACCTGAGTTTCTCAGATGCAAGAAAAATTGAGGAGATGAACGGATAAGACTGGGTGGGGAGTGAGAGGCAGTTCTCTATTATTAACTGTTTTGTTTGAACTTCCACCCAAGGTAGTTTTAAGTGAAGGCACCTCTTATAGAGCAAACTGTGAAGTTCTTTCCTGACTCCACATCGTGAAATTTCTTTAGTACTTGAACCAAAGAGTGTAGGCATCAGGAAACATTTTCTGTTGTGATCAAGCCTGAGTACAGCAAGATCTAACTTGTCTCCAGTTAAAAAGTGTCCCCACTTTCACTTGACATTTCAGGAAGAGCCTAAATAAATTTCACAACCTTCATCAACCAGAAGGTGGCACCAAAGAAAGAGAGAATATCATGTAACCAAAACATAACTAAATTCAAATTTGATCCTACCTTAGGATAAAATCTTAGGGTGTGTGTGTGTGTGTGTGTGTGTGTGTGTGTCAGGGCAGAGGGTGGCTGTTGCTACCTTGTCTGAGCAAGTCAAAAGAATGAACTAAACTAGTGCATGAAGTACAATTTTACATGTGATTGCTCCCAATTGCAAATTTCATTTTTTTTCTTAGTTAAATTTTATTAACTCTGTATCCCAGCTGTATCCCGCTCCCTCATTCTCTCCCAAACCCTCCTTCCCTCCCTCATCTACTCCCTGTCCCTTTCCAAGTCCACTGATCGGGGAGGACCTCCTCCCCTTTCATCTGACCCAGTTTTATCAGATAACTTTAGGACTGGCTGCAAAGTCTTCCTCTGTGGCCTAGCAGGACTGTTCCTTCCTTGGTGGGGGCGGGGGAGGTCAAAGAGCCTGCCATTGAGTTCCTGTCAGAAATAGTCCCTGTTCCCCTTACTATGGGAAAGCAATTGGTTACTGAGCTACCACGGGCTTCATCTGAGCAGAGGTTCTAGGTTATATCCATACATGGTCCTTGGTGGAGTGTCAGTCTCAGAAAAGACCCTGTGCCCAGATATATTTGATCCTTGTGTAGCTCCTATCCTTTACATGTCATACACTCCCCCTTCTTTCATATGATTCCCTGCACCCTGTCGAAGGTTTGGTTATGAGTCTTAGTATCTGCTTTGATACACACAAAACTAAAGTCCAAGTGGATCAAAGACCTCAACATAAAACCAGATACTCTAAATCGGTTAGAAGAAAAAGTGGGTAAAACCCTAGAACTCATTGGTACAGGAGACAACTTCCTGAACAGACACCAACAACACAGGCTCAAAGAGCATCAATCAATAAATGGGACCTCATGAAACTGAAAAGCTTCTGTAAAGCAAAAGACACTGTCGTCAGAACAAAATGACAGCCTACAGATTGGGAAAGGATCTTCACCAACCCTATATCTGACAGAGGGCTGATATCCAGCATATATAAAGAACTAAAGAAGTTAAAAAGCAATAAATCAAGCAATCCAATTTAAAAAATGGGGTACGGAATTAAACAGAGAATTCTCGGTAGAGGAATATAGAATGGCAGAGAAACACTTAAAGAAATGCAAATTTCTAATTCTGGTTTCTTTCAAGTCTCTTCTTCCTTTATCTCACTTCTTTGACCTCTTTCCTTTTAACACCCAAGTGGTAGACAGTAGCATACCATAGCCTATCAACCACATACTGACCACATGATCACACAAGTGAAGAAATAAGCACAATGACAATTAAATACTGTCCAGAGGATTTACAGGAAAAGCGACACTCTGAAAACCAAGCCTTCTGCTCTGAGTGTGTGATACCATTCTGATGGGAGCATAGAACCCTCCACATATCTGCCAAACAAAAGCATCCTAAGAGCATTTGTGCTACACTCTCTTCATGTTTCTCAGAACAAGGTCAAAAGAATGATGCATGGTGAACATTGCCTTGGGGAACTGTGAGAGAGGCTCCAGGAAAACTGGCAGAGAGCCTTTTGCCTTCAGTGCATTTTGTTCCCTGGATTTTAGTTAGAAACAATTCTGTGTCTTCTGGCTTAAACATTTTCATTCTTGTTGGATGTAAGAGCATAGCTATGGAACCAATCTGAAATGCCTGGTTCTCTGTCACAGATAATCTGCCAAGGATTCTGTGCCCAGGAACTCCACCAAAATATTAGAACAGATTCTTAACAGAATCCCATGTAGTATCTTAAAGGGAGCTCTGACAAAGTGAGCAGGAATTCATAAGGTAGTACAAAGGGGAAATTCAGACTAAGAGATTGGCAGGTACAAAAAAAAAAAAAAAAAAAAAAAAAAAGCAGCAGCAGATCATGTTTGTATGTTGTTCAGGGGTGTGGTCTGTGTGGGATCCTGTGAGACACCAGAGGGAGATAAGCTGAGTATCTTTTGCTGAATTATGAGTCTAAACACGACAGGCGGTTTGGAATCCATACATAGCTTTCTAACAGACACGTTATATGTAGGTGTCAGGCTTTAGGAAAAGGACACAGCTCACTATTCGGTGTGGAAGGGGCCTGGGGAGTCTGTTGGCAGGCCACTGTCATGTACCAGTGACTGTTGATGCAGATGAGACCCTGACTGCAGAAGTAGGAATTGTCAGGCAAAGTTATTGCTGCAAAGCAGGAAGGAGGGAAGAAGTAGGGATCGATGTAAAGCTCCCTGCGAAATGCACACGCAGGGTGAGTCAAGAGTCGTAGGAAGTTCCTATGAAGAACTAGCTGGGAATGGGGAAGGTGATGTGTTCCATTAAGATGTGTGGGGGCATACCAGTCATCTAACTCAGGGCTGTAAGATGACAGCCATTGCAGTTTGAAAATAAAGGTAGGGCAAGAAAGAGATGAGCAGAAATTCCAGAGCAGGTGTTGGGGGCCCGGGATCCTATCTCCAGGACAGCCTATGTTAACAGATCTAATTGTTCAGAACCTGTGGATGGTGGAGGCACTCAGAGAAACCTACCTCATTTTATGGGTGGTTCAGTATTCGAAGGCTGTAAAAGGAAGAGAGAAAGACCAAAATTTAAAAAAAAAAAAAATCATTACCTAAGGGATCCAGGACTTACTGGAAGAACCCAAAGGGTATATGTGTGGTCCACAGACCATAGCATAGGTGGACACACAACCTAGATTAGGAGGCCATGACAGGGGACAAACAGTCCTCCCGTGGGGCAGGTGCCTGAGAACTGAAAAATAAATGGAAAGTGAGGAACCTGGATGAAGAACAACCACGACCCGGGTGAAGGGACATAGGTGAAGTTTTGTTTCAAGTTGACAAGAAGCACCTAATGAACAAAATATAAATGAAAGGAAAGAAAATGGGAAGAGCCTTTGGAGTGAAAAGGTAGATGGAAGAGAGGAAGGAGAACGGAAAAGAACAGGCAGCAAGCTGTGCAGCAGAGGGGAATTGTTTTTCTGCCCAGCGTGGTGATGATCCCAGCAGTCCAAACTGCTGCTCCACTTAAATTCCTTGCAAAGTTGCAGGTCACTCTCTAGCCATTTTTTTTTTTTTTTTTTTTTTTTTTTTTTTTTTTTTGCTCCTGGGGTTTCTTCCAACCCCTGGTGGAAAAGCTCCAGCGCTCCCTCCTGGCCATCAAAGCCAGGGCTTAGAGTAGCAACAGTGTCAAGGGGCCCAAATCACTAGAATCCAGGATCAGCACAGTAAACACGCCCACGCGGAAGCAGGCTTGCTACTCCGGGAGCGCCTGCGCTCTGCTTGTCCTGGCTCAGCCCAGGCGGCCCAGGCCGAGACCCACGTGATCTATGTCGCCCCTGGGCCCTCCTTACCTCAGGTGTCTTCAGCCTGGGCTCTTTCTGCTTTGGAGGGATTCTGGCCTCTCTTCCTCCGTGCTCTTCAGAGCCAGTATCTGCCCTGGGGATCAGAGAGTCTCCCTACCGCTTCTATCTTGGAGATTCCTGGTGTTGCTGCTGCTTCTGTTCCTTCTATTCCTGCTTTGTGGACACTTGAGTCCGTCTTGATCCTGGGCAAAGCTCCTGTCAGGTGACTCAGAATAAAATGCACAGACTTGAACAGTCTGTGACTCACAGTATCCACAGAGGGATCTGGGAGGAGCTGGAGCCTGGCCAGGCAGCCTCCTGGGGGGTGGGGATGGGTTGAGAATGTCCGCGGGCACTTGTACGCGGGTTTGAGGACAGAGCTAGGAAGGTTTGGTACCCCGGGACAGTGTGGGTACCCTTACTCCTTACCAGGTCCGTACATGTTGTCTTTGTGTTTTGTGTGAACACAAGAGCAGTTAACTTTAAAAATTAACGAAGTATTAAAGAGCAATTTGGCAGTTGGGATTTAACTTTGAAAATTAACCAAGTACGCAAGAGCAGTTTGTCAGTTGGGATTTGACTTTGAAAATTAACCAAAGACAAACCCTGCTATCGGGACATATGCAACTGTTTTGTTTAGCAACCTAGCATTTGGCATGCATCCCCAAAGTTGATCACATGATTATATGCTAAATGTTAAACCCATACAAATGCCATAGAACATACAAACAAATTTTTAAAAAACAAGAAAAGGCTTTAAAGTTAAAAATAAACATGTTTGTACTGCAAAAAATTCATCTACACTTTTCTTAAGAGCCAGGCGATCAGTGTGTGTGTGTGTGTGTGTGTGTGTGTGTGTGTGTGTGTGTGTGTGTTTAGTTTGATGCTTGACAGTGATTTGAAGACCTGGTTTAATTTTGAGTTATTACTGATTGGATTGTTAGCTATCCTAAAGGAGCTGAGCTGATTAAAATGTAATACAAACTTTTTTTTTGTTTACTAAACCTTTCTTGGTTTTTAACTTGAATGCTAGTTCAGCTGTTTTGGTACAAAATACTCAAAATTTTAATACTTTGAAGTGCACTGCACTTCTGTTCGGAAGACCATTATGAGGGTTGGAGGGTTAGAAAGTTCGTTTGCTAGCCTCTGAGGCTTTTTTTTTTTTTTTTTTTTTTCTAGCCATCAAAGCACATGAAGGCAGGGTAAGTCATTCTCAGGATGGCCACTACAGTTTCAAAGAAGAGTTCATCTCTCATTGACTGAATGAGAGACCCTTTATCTACTAGGGGATCCACTGTACTTTTTTACAGAAATATTCGCTAAATATTCTTGGAGGCACTTACCAACAGAGAAGTTCAGCATTCTGAGAATGGTGGCTCTTAGAAAACAAGGGCTGAACAAGGGTAACAACAAAGGACATGCCAGTTTAGACAGGGGAAATCCTCAACCCTATATAAGGAACTACAGAGAACTAATGAATGCTGAGAGTGGGAAAAATACTCTTCTCTGGGGAAAAACACACTAACTGATTTTTCAATAACAGATGGCCAGTTCTGAAAACATACATATGAGTAACATACAGACTGAGCAGGTTGTACTCACTTATTCAGGAATATATATGTACATACATGTGCACCCAATAGCAATAAATGGGGAAAAAAAAGGCCATTTATATCGAAAGAGAGCAAAGAGGACTGTATAGGAGGGTTTGGGTTGATGAAAGAAAGGTTAAGGGGAAATGATTTAATATCTCAAAAAAATTTAAAATATTTAAGTATGTGATTAATTTCTTTTTAAAGACACTCTTAGGAACTTTGATGTTTACCAGGTTGGTAGCTGTTGAGCTATTTATACAACACATAATCATTCATAATCATTGCCTTTGAGTCACAACACTAACACCCAGTCTCGGTCATCTCTTGCAGTGCCTCTCTGAGAGCACAGAGAAGCTGCTCCTCTCAACCCTATTCATCATAAAACAGTGCTGCTCCCCCGTGACAGTGCAGAGACTCCAAGCTAAGTTACCGTGAAAAAAAAAATGTATCTTCAAATTCTGAAGTCTTTGTGGCTGTGCTCTGCTTCTAGAGAGAAACTAGAAAGCCTAAATATGCATTAAACATAGACACAGATGTTAAGGTTTAGAATGTCACAATCACTTTGAAATGCAATCCTTGCCAATCAGGTTATACGTGTGTGTGTGTGTGTGTGTGTGTGTGTGTGTGTGTGTGTGTGTGTATTATATATACCTTACTTGCCTTTAAGCCTGAGTAGAACAGATGGTCCCAAGGTAGGTGATTGTGCCAGGAAGACCTTACCCTCAAGCATGCTTATCTAGACTTAACTCTTCTCCTTTGTGGAGTTATGGCCAACTGTGCCCTCCCCTCTTCTAACTATATCATTACCTCTTTCCTTCTTTTCTTTCTTTCTTTCCTTCATTTGTTCCTCTTTGTTTGTTGAATTTTGCAGTTGTTTTGTTTTGACACAGTGTTTCATCTAGCCTTAAGCTTCCAATGTAGTTGAGGATGGCCAGGAACTTCTGATCCTCCTACCTCTGTCTCCTGAGTGCTGAGAGCTGAGATTGCTGGCATGCGTCATATCATTGCATTTTATGCTGTACTATGAACAGAGCCCAGAGCTTCCTGCCAGCTAGGCCAACAAACCATCAATGGAGTTGTATTTCCAACCATGAATCCTTCAGGCCTGTATCTTTTATCCTTGGGAGTCTTACCTGAAACATAATAGAGTTTCCCCTATTAAAGCAACCACACTTCTTTCCTTGTACCTTAGACCGCAACTCTAAATCTTCATACAGAAGAGTGTTACAGCGCTTATAATCAAGTTTCTAACACTTGGAAAGTAGGCATTGACCATTGCCTTTTCCCACCTTTGCTTCACAGTTCCCTGAAGTTTGACTTCTATGCCAGTCTTTGCTGAAAGCGTCCCTACTGAGGCCTCCAAGTTCTTCTAACTGCCACAGCTAAAAGATAGGGCTCTGGGCCCATTTCATTCTAGTTAGCCCTTTGTTTTTGTTCTTGGAATTTACTCTTTTCTTGGCTTTATCTCCAGGTTCCTTTTCTTTCATTTGAAGTGTTTTGATTCATATAATGATGATGTTAACTTAACTGTATTCATAAGTGTTATTTTTAAACAAAATCCCAAATGTTCAATTTTACCAATAAAGACTCAGGAGCCAAATGCTGGGCTGAAATCCTACTAGCTCAGAGAGGCAGAAAACCACCTAGCTGGCTTCCTACTCAGCCAATGTCCTAAAAGGAAAAAAGCCTCTTCTTCTTCTCCATGGTGTTTTAGAAACACTTCAAACTGAGTGACCTTCCTGTGTACTTCATGTGTGTCTCTCTGTCCATACTCTGGTCTTCCTCTCACTCTATGTTTTTTTTTTTTTCCTATGTTCACTCCCTGTCAACTGGTTGCTTGCCCTGCCTCTTAACTTATGGTTGACTTCATTTAATCCTATTTACAGAAGAGTCATGGATTAAAGGTTGTGCTAGGGCTGAGCCAAGCCACAACTAGAAAGAGGTTTTTCCAGTACACAATTTTGGCATTCACAGTGTGATCAAATGGCCTACAACACAAAAGTTCAAGTTTAATTTTTTTGTTGTTGTTGTTGTTATTTAGTTGTTGTGGGGAGATATGAACAAACATTTCCTTGCCCCAGGAAGGAAACTAATGACAAACCAAAGCAAAGATAACAACAAAGACCAACTTGCTGGACCAATGAGTTTTATTGGAGATACATACAGAAATATTGGAGTGCTGGCTAGTTTAATGTCAACATGACACAAGCTAGAGTTGGAGTGAGGGAGCCTCAAGAAAACATCTCCATAAGATCAGGGTAGAGGCAAGACTGTAGGGCAATTTCTTAATTAGTGCTTGATGTTGGAGGACTCAACCCATTCAGTTGCAAGGTTATTGGGACCACCACTGGGCTAGTAGCCCTGTATTCTATAAAAGAGCAGGCTGAGGAAGCCATTGGGAGAAAGCCAATAAGCAGCAGCCCTCTATGGCCATTATATTAGCTCCTGCCTCCAGATTCCAGCCCTGTTTGAGTTTCTGCTCTCACTTCCTTTAGTCATGGACTAAACTGTGGATCTGTAAACCAAATCAACCCTTTCTTCTCCAACATGCTTTTGGTCTTAGTGTTTAAACCTGACTAGGAAAGTCGGTGAGAGGTTCTTTACAGGAGCAGAAATGAATCGAAATGCTGAACCAGTGTGGGTGAAAGCTCATGAAACTGGAAACTTTAAACTTTTGACTCTGTTCTACTTTTAGTCAACTCAACATTCAATAGTATCCTTTCCAGGTGGCTCACTTGATAGGACCTGTTCTAAACAACTCAACTGGTCTCAGGCAACTAAGTTGCCTGAAAGTCTTCCTAGCAGCTTGGCTTGTCTGAGAGACCTGCCAGCAGTCCTTATTGTTTTATATGGGGAAGAAGGGGGCCTGGTGTATATGGTCAGTTTCAGGGACTTCTTGATCTTAATGAGCTTCCATGCAGGATAGAAAGTTTCATCACTTTATAGAACAACCTTTATTTTACCTCCGTATAAACATCCAGTGTCTTAATGAGCTTCTCTGAATGACATAAGGATTTCACCTTTGAGAAAACTGCTACATTGCACTCATTCTGATGATATCTGGCTTTTCTCTTAAGCTGTACCTATTCCCAGTGTGAGAATGCTTCCACATTAACCAGATGATCAAAAGCCCATCATTTCTATCATCTTCATGTTTGCCTATCCAACTTCCTTTTTTACCTCCTAGTTTCCTAAAAAATTTATTACCAACATACAGAACTTCTCCTGATCTATACCAACTCTGAAGTCCCACTAAACATCCTAATTTGAAATATCTTATCCCAGACCCCAGCTTATAGTTTTGATGTCATCTATATATCCCCAAAGATAAGTTACAAACTATGGGACTAAGAATTTAGGCATTTCAATGTCTTGGTTTATTTCTCTGGGGCCTTGGCAAATATCTGAAGTTCTTCCATGTCCTCTACATATCTGTGTGGAGTGTATGCCATGCTAATTTGTCTCCCAAAATTTAGCTAAAAAATCATCCACTAGGACCTTTCATGCTATCTCCAAGTCATACTTTGGCTTTTAAAAGTCTTTGTGTCCTGTCTGTACCCCCAAATAATCCCATCAGGATCTTCTGAAGGAGAAAACAATATAACCACTTTTTAAGGGTCTC